CTGCTGCTGCTGCTGCTGCTGCTGCGCAGGTTCCACGTGTCTTGTGCGCGGGCGCTGGGCTGCCGCCTCGAGGGCCACCACGGCAGCAGCCACAAGCTGCAGTGTCTGTACCACTCGCTGCTGAGTGCGGGGCGGCCAGCAGCAGCAGCACACAAGCAAGCAGCAGCAGCACACAAGCAGCCAGCAGCAGCAGCAGCAGCACACAAACCAGCAGCAGCAGCAGCAGCAAGAGCCACCGACAATAGACTCCCCCTCACCAGGGGCCCTCCCCCTCCCCCTCGCGAGCTCGATGCGCTGCACCATTTAGCTGCCAACCCCATCGAATATTTGCAGGTTTGCTGCTGCTGCTGCTGCTGCTGCTGCAGTTGTTGCTTTGGCTGCTGGTGTCGTTTCCCTGGCTACTGCTGCTTCTAGCAGCTGTGTTGTGATTGCTGCTATCGCTATTTTTAGTGAGGGGTCGCTGCTGCATGCACCTTGCTGCCACTACCTCTTGTCCTACACTTTCTTCTTTAGAACTTTTAACTTAAATTTATATTTTTTGTCTTTGCTGCCTTGGCCGCTGCAGCAATATTTCCTTCCGGGCGTTCTCCTGGCGGGTTTGCCTCAGCCGAAGCCGTCGCGTGCTCCTGCTGCTGCTGCTGCTGCAGCAACAACAGCAACAGCAGCAGCAGGGGGTTGTGAGGAGAAGGCGGAAGAGAGCAGCAAAGGCGTGGGGGGCGCGGCCGACCCCGCAGGCAGCAACGGCGCCGCTGCAGCCCCAGACAGCAGCAGCGGCAGCAGCAGCAGCAGCAGCAGCAGCAGCAGCAATATGTGCGCAAGTGACCCCGAGAGCGACGGGGGCGAAGGCAGCCGCACGCCAGCGCCCCCCTCTCCCATGCATTTGGCGGAGCAGCAGGAGCTGCTGCAGCTGTCGCGAGTGGTGGCAACAGAAGCAGTGCGGCGGCGCGAGAGGCGCAGCAGCAGCAGCAGCAGCAGCGGCTTTGCTGCTGCAGCAGACCTGCCCCCCCCAGCGACCTGCAGCAGCAGCAGCAGCAGCAGCGAGCAGCACAAGCGGCCCTGGGAAGCTGCTGCTGAAGACGCCGAGGCAGCAAACCAAAGCAAGCGGAGGCGGGAGGCCGACGCGACGCCGCCCTCCTCCCCCACAGCAGCAGCAGCAGCAGCAGCAGCAGCAGCAGGGTGGCCGCCAATGCCTTTGCCTCCGCCCCCCAAGGTTGCTGCTTCTGCAGCGATGTTATCCGCCCAGTGGTACGGAGGGTCCTGCACGGGTCTGTACTTGGGGGGACCCCAGGGGCCACCGGGGGCCCCCTTGGGGGCCCCGGGCGGCAGCCAGCAGAGGGCTGGGGGCCCCCTTGGGGGCCTCCAGGGCCCCCACTCGGGGGGCCCCCTTGGAGGCCCCCACGGGGGCCCCCAGGGGGGGCCCCCAGAGGCCGGGGGGGCCCCCGGGGGCCCCGGAGAGGGGGGCCCCCTACAAGGGGACAATGAACCCAAGCCGGTCTTTTGCCCTATTTGTAATGGACTTTATAAAGAACTTCCTGGGGGGGGCCCCGGAGATGGTTTACACTGGATTGGCTGCGATTGTGAGTTTCGGAATTTGAATTGTTGAATTCAATTTGAATTAATTTAGTTTGAATTGTTGAATTTAATTTGAATTAATTCGATTTGAATTGTTGAATTGAATTTGAATTGTTGAATTCAATTTGAATTGTTGAATTCAATATGAATTAATTTGATTTGAATTGTTGAATTGAATTTGAATTGTTGAATTCAATTTGAATTAATTCAATTTGAATTGTTGAATTTAATTTGAATTAATTCGACTCGAATTGTTGAATTTAATTTGAATCGTTGAATTCAATTTGAATTGTTGAATTCAATATGAATTAATTTGATTTGAATTGTTGAATTTAATTTGAATTGTTTGATTCAATTTGAATTAATTTAATTTGAAATGTTGGGTTCACTTTGAATTATTGGATTTAATTTGAATTGTTGGATTCAATTTGAATTGTTGAATTTGGATTGCTTAATTCAATTTGAATTGCTCGATTTGGATTGTTTAGTTCAATTTGAATTGTTTAATTTGTATTGTTTGATTCAATTTGAATTATTGCATTAAAGTTGAATTGTTCGACTTAATATGGTTTCTTTAATATAATAAATGCAGTTAAAGTCCCACTTGAATCTGAACTGGAATGAGCGACTCTGCACAGATGTGCATTTTCTGCATTTCTTTTTAATTGTTTTATCTTACTTATTTTATTTATTTTATTTATTTATTTTTTTAAATTTATTTTATTTATTTTGTTTATGGTATTTAAACCTGTGGCGAAATCTAACAGACTAGAAGCCCGAGACCCCTCTGGTTCCTCCTGCCCTGCTGCTGCACTCACTGCTGCTGCTGCTGCTGCTGCTGCTGCTGCTGCTGCTGCTGCTGCTGCAGGCTGCCTGCAGTGGTACCACTGGCTGTGTTCTGGCTACACCGACGAGCACCCGCCTCCAGCTGACGAAGATTGGTTTTGTTACTTTTGTGCCACGCGAATAAGAGCTTCTTTGGAGCGAAAAAACAAAGAAAAAACAGCAACAAAGCACCAGCAGCAGCAGCAGCAGCAGCAGGCCAGAAAGGGCAGCGGCTTGTGAGTAGCTGCTGCTGCTTCGAAGCGCTCTGCTGCTGCGGGTCCTTTTTTGCCTCCTTGTGTGCGGTGCTTCTCTTCTAGCTGCTGCTGCAATGGCGCTGCTACTGCTGAATTTGCTGCTGCTGTTGCATTTGCTGCTGCTGCTGCATTTGCTGCTGCTGTTGCTCTTGCTACTGCTACTGTATGAACTGCTGTCGCTTTGCTCCTGCGTTTGCTGCAGCTGGTTTTGCTGCTGCTGCTGCATTTGCTGCTGCTGCATTTGCTGCTGCTGGTGCATTTGCTGTCTCCTTTGAAGAAAGTGTCCCTTTGCAGTGTTGCTGCTTCTCTTGTGTGTTTTAATTTGGTCTTTGTTGTTTTCTTTTTTTAATTTCTGATTTATCTTGTGTTGCTGCAGGAAGAGTGCTAAGCGTTGAGGTGTCTGTACACCTGAGGGAGACAGGAGCCTCTGCTCCGTCAATTCTTTTTCATATTATTTCTTTTTCTAATTGTCTCCTTTTTAGTCCCGCAGCAGCGAGCTGCTGCGCTGCTGCCGCAGGGGCAGCAACGCTGCAGCAGCAGCAGCAGCAGCAGCAAAAGTAGCAGCAGCAGCAGCAGCAGCACGATTGTTTCCGACTGGTGCGCGGCAGCAAAATTTATCGGCGGCGCAGCAGCAGCTGTCTTCATTTTGATTTTTCACTTTCTTTTCCTTTTTTTCTTCTTTATTTCCCTTTTTTATTTTATTTTTATTTCTTTTGCTTTTATTTCATTCTTGGCGAATGCTTCTGTTTATCTTTTCATCTTTTTATCTCTTTAATCTTTTCTATGTTTATTTTTTATCCTTTTATCTTTTTTTCCATTTTATCATTTTTTGTCTTTTCATCTTTTTGTCTTTTCACGCGAAAGTTTCTTTTTGGTCTTTTGTCTCTTCAGTTCGTTTGTCTCTTTTTTTAGTTTATTTCTCCAAATTTTATTTTTATTTTTCTTTTTTTTCCTTTACTTTTTTTCTTTTTTTTCTTTTTTTCCTTTTTCTCTTTTCTGGCTTCTGCTGCTTGCTGCTCCCCCGAAGAGGGAAGAAACAAATTTTGAAAACTTGCCCGAGGCCATAAACAGCACAATTTTAGGGTTTAGGGTTTAGGGTTTAGGGTTTAAGGTTTAAGGTTTGGGAATGGACGTCTGGGCTGCTGCTGCTGCTGCTACAGAAGCACAAAGAACTAAAGGCACAAGCCAAAAAATTGGGGTTTAGGGTTTAGTCTTTTGAATGCATTTAATGCAATTAAATTAATAAAATAGAATTATAATTAAACATTATTTTAAAATCAAAAGTCAATTCCACTTTCGGGTGCCTCGCTTCTCGCGGGCGCTGCGGTGTACGTACACCCCGTCCGAATGCAATTTTACATTTATTTTCAAATTATGTTTCATTTATCTTTCTGTTCTTCTTAATTGCTGCTTAAAGAGGTACTAAGGGTTAGTGCTTTGCTCCTGCTGCGTAAAGGGGATCTACGGGAAATGCAGCAGCAGCAATAGCAACTGCTGCAGCAGCAGAAGTAGCTGCGGCAGCAGCGGCAGCAGCAGCGGCAGCAGTAGCTGCAGCAGCAGCAGCAGCTAAGGCAGCGAGGGCAGGGACTGCAATGTGGCTTTGCTGGAGTTCTCAGCTGGTGGCTAGCTGCTGGCGGCAGCTAGCTGCTGATAGTGGCTAGCTGGGCTAGCTGCAGCTGCTGCTGGTGGCTAGCTGCTGGCGGCAGCTAGCTGCTAGGGGCAGTGGCTAGCTGCTGCTGCTTGCAGCTGGCTGCTGCTGCTTGCAGCTGGCTGCTGCTGCTTACAGCTAGCTGCTGCTGCTTGCGGCTAGCTGCAGCTGCTTGCAGCTAGCCGATGCTACTCAATAAGGGCTACTAGCCTGAAGTTGGCTGCTGCTGCTGCTGCTGCTACGGCAGCAGCAGCAGGAGAGTAGCACCCGCAGAGAGCCGCAGCAGCAGACAGCAGCGGCGGCAGACAGCAGCAGAGAGCAGCAGCAGCAGACAGCAGCAGCACATCGCACCAACAGTAGCAGAGAGCAGCAGCGGCAGAGCAGCAGCAGCAGGGAAAGAAGCAAAGAAGGCTGAACAGCTCTTGGCACCTCCAAATGATCAGAGGATTGCTGCAATGGATTAATTTGAAAGTAACTTTTAAATGTTTAATTAATTTGTTTTAAATTCATTATTTTAAAATAATTTTAGTTTAATTAATTCGTTTTGAATGAATTCTTCCGCGGTTTGGCCACTGGTGCAACCGAAGCAAGAACCACTCGGCTGTGTGCAGCAGCGGGGCTCGGGGCGCAGCGAGTCTTCGTAAACGCAATTAGGGAAAGTTTTCTTTTTCAATAAAGTTAAATCAAAATAAAAATAAATTAAATCCAAAACTGCGCTGCAGAAACTTCGGATCTTCACCATGAAGCAGCGCCGGGTGTCTAGACAGTCTGCTGCGAACACACTGGCTTTCCGGCGCCGCGGCAGTGGGCCGAGGGACTTCTTTTCTCCATTTAAACAAATAAATTGAATTAAGTAATAAATTGAATTGTTTGCAAAGTGGAAAGGGGGAAAGTGGCGGCCGAATTCGCTTGCTTGGACCTGAGTTTCCCGTTCCGCAGTGGCTGGCGCCAGCCGATGTGAGCCTCTGGCTTTGCGGCGGCATGTGGCGATTTCTGCAGCTTCGGGGGCATTTCGCGGCATTTTTGGATTAATCTGGACTTCAATAGTCAACTAAAAGGTTTAAAAGGTTCCAAGTGGATTTTTTCCCGGCGAAAGTGCTGCATTTTCCGCGGCGGCGCCGTTCATCGCGCGGCTGGGCTCTGGCCTCGAGGCACACCGCCCGGCGCGCCGAAACCGCGGGAAACTCGGTCTTTTTCTCCATTTTCTCTTTTAAAATTCAATTATTATTCAAAAGGACGTTTAATTTGCGTTTTTGGCGCTCGAGGAGCTCCCGGTCTTCAGCAGCAGCAGCAGCAGCAGCGTCAGCTTCGGATTCCGCTGCTGGCGCTGCGGAAGGGACTGAAACTTGGCCGAATTTTGGAGTTAAAAGGGGATTTTTGGGTGTTTCGAGTCGCTCTTTGCAACTAGAAAGGAGTTTTTGAGGTTTTGCATCTCAATTGGGATTCAAAAAGGGGTTTTTGAGGCCCAAAGAGCCCAAGAATGGGCAACTCGATGAGCTGCTTCGAAAGATGGGGCAAAAGGGCCCCCGACGGCGCCCTTTTTGCCCCCAAAAAGAGAAATGCAGATAACCCCAGAAGCCCCTCCGTCTTTGCTGTCCCCACAACTGCTGCTGCTGCTGCTGCGAACGGCGCAGCAGCAAAGAAGGCCCCCGTGCCCAAGGTAATGCCTCACAGCACTTTTTGGTTGCAGTTTATGCTGCTTTAAGAATGTCTTTTAGCAGCAGTTCTAGAGGGCCTTTTGTGCAGCAAAAGTGCGACTTCGTAGTGCCTTTTAAGCCGCGAAAATGCAGTTCAAAGTGCCATCAACAGCAGCAAAAGTGTGACTTTAAGAATGCCCTTTAAGCAGCAAAAATGCAATTTCAATAATGCCATTAAAGCAGCGAAAATGGCGTTTCAAAGTGCCATTTTAGCAGCAAAAGTGCGCTTGAAAAGTGGCCTCCAAAGCAGCAAAAGTGCAGTTTAAAAGTGCCATTAAGCAAAGGAACAAATTTTAAACCAATTGGAATATTTGTCAGCCATTTACGAATTCGAATTTTAGTCTCCAAATGCATTTCCCCTCTTCGCCGCACTGAACTTCGTGTCCACTTCCCCGGCGACTTAGCGCGCGAAACAGCTTGGGCTGAGCGAAGCGAATCCTCTAAACAAGCAAAGCAAAATCAACTGAATTAAATTAAACTAACCGAATTGAATTAAACCAATTCAATTCAGTTGCCTCCCTTCAATTCCGCCAGCTAAGTCCGCCCCAACTGCGCCGCTCTGCAGGCCACTTCCCCCGTGGAAAGAAGCAACAGACGCCGCCAGACCTACAGCAGCAACGCTGCGAAAGCCGCAGACACTGAAGTCAGCAGCTACGACGAAGAAGACGACTTCGACGAGACCGACGAGGAGGAGGCGAGCGCCCGCCATTAATGGCATTAATGGCATTAGTGGCATTAATGGCATTCATGGCATTCATGGCATTCGTGGCATTAGTGGCATTCATGGCATTCGTGGCATTCATGGCATTAGTGGCATTCATGGCATTCGTGGCATTCATGGCATTAGTGGCATTCATGGCATTAGTGGCATTAGTGGCATTAATGGCATTAGTGGCATTCATGGCATTCGTGGCATTCATGGCATTCATGGCATTAGTGGCATTCGTGGCATTCATGGCATTCGTGGCATTCATGGCATTCGTGGCATTCATGGTATTCATGGCATTAGTGGCATTAATGGCATTCATGGCATTAGCGGGCCTTTTCCTTGCCACTGGCAGGCTCTCTTTTGGTCGCCGCTTCACTCCGTTTCAATGCCACTCCTGCCATCCGCAGGCTTTAGCGCTCCTTTATTTGCCATTAGCAGTCTTCAGCAGTCTTTGGAGTGCCATTTCATGCCACTACAATGCCACTCCTGCCATTGGCACTCTTTAACATGCCATTTCAATGCCATTCTTGCCATTAATCGCCATTAATAGCTAATAACGCTCCTCTAAGTGCAGCCATGTTAATGCCGTTCGTGCCACTAATAGCCATTGCATGCCATTAACAGCCGTTCAAATGCCACTAGCAGCCCTTAAACGCCACTTCTGCCACTCTGCCATTAACAGCCCTAGCATGCCACTAACAGCCCTTCAAATGCCACTAACATGCCACTCCTGCAACTCCTGCCATTAACAGCCCCAGCGTGCCACTAACAGCCCTAGCATGCCATTAACAGCCCTTAACAGACTCTTTGAAATGCCCCTGGCCCGCCACTCCTGCCACTAACAGCCCCAGCATGCCACAAACAGCCCTGGCATGCCATTAACAGCCCTGGCATGCCAGTAACAGCCCTGGCATGCCATTAACAGAGTCTTTGAAATGCCACTCCTGCCACTCCTGCCATTAACAGCCCTGGCATGCCACTAACAGCCCTAGCATGCCAGTAACAGCCCTGGCATGCCATTAACAGCCCTAGCATGCCAGTAACAGCCCTGGCATGCCAGTAACAGCCCTGGCATGCCAGTAACGGCTGAGGGCCGGCCGGTGAGTGCGCGCAGCTGACGACGAGCGACGTGCGGCAAAAGAAGCTGCTGGCCTACCGGCGCTCGCTGACCAAAATTGTGAAGCTGAAGACGCACTTGTTCAACGCCACCGTCAAAGTGACCTGCTCCCGCGACGGCAAGGAGGTCGAGTGGTACAAGGGGCACTCCGGCGAGGGCGGCAAGGGGAAAGCTGTGGGGTCCCTGCCCGTCGAGAAAGTAAACCCTAAACCCTAAACCCTAAACCCTAATGTCTGCACTTGGGGCGTGCATGAGGGCGCGGGAAAGCCGCGGATAGCGGTGGGAGGGACTCCTCAAACCCTTTCTTTGCAAAGCTGTAACCAGGGATACGCAACTCCGATGAGGGTTTAGGGTTTAGGGTTTAGGGTTTGGGGTTTATTGTTTGCGGCTGTTGCACCGCTTTCGATCCAGCGTTGCATGCATCAGAACGCGCATGCAAGTGCATTCACGAATAGAGCTTTTGAATCTGAATTTTTTGATCTTTTGTTGATATTTATTTTAATTTACCTAAATTTGAATTTGTATTTATTCAAAGTAAGAATGAATTTAAATTCTTTTTTATTTGCTGCTGCAGATCACTTCCGTCAAGGCGCAGCAAGACAACCCGAAGGGGTTAACCATAAACGTGAACAATCCTTCGCCGACGACTTTCTCCTTCACGTGGGCTTTTCGAATTAATTTGAAACAATTAATTCAAATAAATGAAATAAATTAATAGATAAATTAATTAAATTAAATAAATAAAATAAATGAATAAGTGAATTGAATTGATTCATTTTAAAGTTGTTTCGCGATTTTTTCGCAAGCTCAGATTTGATGGCGCTGCTTCTGCATCTTTATTAGTTGAAATGTTTTGAATTTTATTTTTGAGAAAATGTTTGAAGTTCTTCTAACACTTTTAATTTCTTTTCTTTACTTCTTTTTTTAATTCAATTGACTCCCCAGGTGACATTCAAATCATTTAAGTCTCAGTATATATAATTAATTAATTAACCAATTGATTAACCAATTAATTAATTAACCAGTTAATTAACCAATTAATTAATTATTTAATTAATTTTATTTTTATTTGTTTTGCTTTGCTGCAGCTTCAAGACAAAGGAGGAAAGAGAGTCTTGGGAGAAGCAGCTGGAGTCTTTGCAGAAGTTTATGGCAATGATTTGAGTGTTGGAAAGAAGGAAATTAAATACATAAATAATAAATAATAAATAATTAAATGCATTATAGGTAAAGTTGTGGAATTGTTGAAGGCTGAGGTAGAAAGAAAGACAAATTTAAACAAGTTCAAAGTCATCTGCATTTGTTGAGAGACAGCAGAAGAGGCCTCACTAGAGGAGCAGTAGGCCAGCAGCAGCAGCAGCAGCTGCTGCTGCTGCACAAGGAGCAGCAGCGGCAGCAGCAGCAGCAGTAGCAGCAGCAGCAACAGCAGCAGCGTTAACGGCAGCAGCAACATCAAGGTGCGAATTTCGTCGAGAGGAAAGCCTAAGATTGTCATTAGTGTGGAGCCACAGCCGCAGCAGCAGCTGCTGCTGCAGCAGCTACAGACAGCAGCACAGCAGCAGGAGTGTTTGCTGCTGCTGCTGCTGCTGCTGCAGCAGGAGGCGTGGCCGGATTTGTTTGTTGAGCCGAGACAAGTGCCGTTTGTTTCTTTCTTTTTTTGCAAAAGACAAAAGAAACAAAAGTGAAAAGAAAAGAAATAAAATAAATGAAAAGAAAAGACAGACACAGCGCGTGTCCGTCGCTTCCCCGGTGTACGTACAGGGGCAGCAGCAAAAGACAAAAGACAAAAGAGACAAAAGAAAAGTTTTTCTTTTTTATTCTCTCCTGTCTCTTCCTCATTTCCTTTTATATATATGCTCCTGCTGCGCTGCTGCTGCTGCTGCTGCGCTGCTGCTGCTGCT